AAGCCCGAAGAAGACTGATTATCAGCCGAATTACGCTTGATATACTGGGAAGCTTATCACTGTTCTTGCGTACGGGCGTATGGGACGAATCAAGAGTGTCAGATGGAAAATACGTTCTTTCTTGAAATATCTTATAACACGTCAGTACATCTAATTACAAAGGAAGAAAAGACAGTGTGACCCACTAATCAAGAAAAGCTGGCATATGTACTACATGCAGACCTTTTTTAGTCACATTTATTAATGACAAATTCACACTCATTCTTCCTAATAACTATCAAATACCAACAATAAATAATGTTTTTGCAACTTGTTAGGTCTAATGTTTACCTTAACTAAAGTAAATATATGTATGTATGCGTCTGTACATGGACTGCCTGAGGTCAAATGAATGGCAGTTCGCCAGTAGCAGTTTTGTTATCCGCAGTATTTTGGTGGCATCGCAAGCAGGTCAAATCGCAAAGAGCGAGCTATGCCGTGTAAACATCAGTGCTCAGCATCGACGAGGTTGGAGCATTGACCAGCTAACAGTAAACACTTGGACGTAGGCTATAAGGACGGATCGGAAGCTGGTTTCTCGTCCAAGGCTCTTCTTGTCGGCCTGTTCGTGAGCGTCATTAAGGCTGCTCCAACGCCGGCCCCATTCGACCAGCGGTAGATGGCCTACGCAGTGTCCAAAAAATGGACTCTACAGTTCAAATCCATTGCCTATACCCAACGTTTGCTTCTCAACCAGCTTCTGAGAGTAGCTTTCGGATTACTACCAAATAGCGGGTCATCATCATGGCAGTGCGTCTATGTTTCGAGTTTTACGTCCGGTATCGCCATCAGGCATTCCATCAGACGGCTGGTTCCCAGCACGAAACGAACTTGGGCTTGAACCTAGATTACAACATGTCCCTAAAATTAGCAAGCCAAAATAGGTTATCCGCCGAGCTGTTATGGGAACTTACACCTTTACGATACCTAGCGCCCTGCTGACGGTTCTGGGGGTGCTTAATGTCGCGGTAGACGACAATTTTACATTCTTGACAACCTCGCGAAAAATCTGATACTGGGCAAACTGTTTTTGACAAAAGGGTTATTCACCCGAATCACTACTAATTGGGAAATAGGTTATACTACATAGGGTAGCAATATGTGTGAAAGTCCAAGCAAACCTCCTTAGCATTAGACGCGCTCCTATGCTGTTTCCCGCGGGTTTCGTATGCGTCCTCGCGCAAGGTTTTGAGCATGAATACGCGAACTCAGTGACAGGTGATGCTCAAAAACCTAAAAGATTACTTCATCAGGGTGGATCGAGTCCAGATATTGACGGATCAGCATGCATTAGCAAGAAAAAGACAGTATTTGGCATGCCGAGAAGGCTTTACCAGCTTAAGCTCATATGATTTGGTCTCATTAACGCATTCGCGACGTTTCAAAGGCTGATGAGGAAAATCGTCGGAGTACCAAATAGCTCTTGTTTGCCTCGAAGATGTCACAATATTCTCAGTTGACTTCAACACCCACATGCCTTATCTACAGAAATACTCGCGGCCATCGACTCTGCTGGCCTACGGCTGAAAGCAAAGAAATGCACTGGCACAAGTTAGGAGATAATATGTCTTACAGAGACGCGCCTTCTGTACTGATTTCGTCAAAATCTGGAGACAAGGTTATAGACAAAGGCCAGCAGCACCGACATACAGGCAGTGCTGGCCCTGGTGAGCGGAAGGCCTCAGCAGGTCATTAGACTGACGCCGAAACAAAATGCCGCTCTTGAGACCGGCCTCTTAGTAGTGATGTGGATCATTGAAAAATTCCGACCCTAAATATACAAACTGTGAACGGAAAGCATATACGGCGGTAATGGGAAGAAATATACTCCGAAACAAAATGCGTGCCATGAACATAAATAATATCATAATTCGCCGGCAAATGCGGCTCGGAGCTATGATCAGAGGCCGAATATATCGCTGCTTACCAGTAGCAACTTCGTCGTGTGCCGGTATATATACTTGTATATGTATGTATCTCAGGTTAAAAAATAATGCATCTATTATATACTTGACCAAATTTCCAGCTCAGGCGCGATTACCTGTGGTAAATTTCTTGATTGCTATTAGTCTCCAATTAGTGGCGTTGTCTATAACTCTGTTGTCTATCCAGCGTTCTACAGATTACCATGAAGCCTACGTCTGACTGAACCATTAGATCATAGAAACGGGCCAAAAGTTCATTCGCCCAATTTCTGCTTGGATGCAAGTGTTCAGGAATGAAGTATGCTGAAAGGTCTGAAGTTTAGCAACAGAAGCTAACCCATGTACCACCGTTAGTGCAGCAGCATTGCTAGGTCTAATCACTAGTTACATCGTCACCGGCACTGAAGCAGGGGCGGATGAAAGTTCTGTCACAACGCACTAGTACCGCCCCAGGGAAACTCGACTGATAACAAAGGCAAAACTGCTGCATTAACCATCAAACAGGAAAAATATAGAGCGGGGCTTTAGAGCTTCGTGGAAACTTTAGAATAGAAAGCACAGTCACGAAGACGTTGGGTAGCTAGGAGGTGCAGCCGTAAAAAGTGCTGTATTATTATAGCATGCGGTCATGGGGGGCGTAACTGCGCGATAGGAAAATATTAGAAACGTATAGTGCTATTAAAATGTTGTTTCATTTAAGCTGTTAACATCGATGTTGACTCAAAGCGTCAGTGGGTCGGGATAGAACGCGATAATAAAATGATCAAGATAATTAAGATAACTGAAACATGCTAATGTTGTTGACTAACGACTGTTCCATAACGTCAAATGTACATTTCTAACGTAGAAAATGTGGATTCGAACTCAAAAACCATCATAAACACATATCAGCAAAGTACCGCTATCGTCAGAAGATGTTTACCGACGTTGACTCGTTCCCCTTGAAACCATTGTGATGTTGCAATAGGCTTCTCGTTAAGGTGCCCAGAATGATTCAGTTTTCTGAATGTCAGATGTATTCCAACTAAAATCATGTCGAAAGTTCCTGCCGGACCAATAAATTGCAATTAAGCACATTGGCCAAAAGAAATGTGTGGTTATTTTAAAAATCCAATACCCTATTATTATTATTATACCATGTTTGTTTGTTTCCTAGTAACTGCTTGAATTGTTTCTTAGTCTAAACAATTTGCCAGCTGGCATCGGTGTATACGACATTTGCGGTACAGTCCACTTTGCTCGGATGACTGGTGCAGCCACCATAATCATAACTTACATAAACCACTCATGGTTGTTTCAAGAAGCAAATTGACGTTCCAGATATTTTACGTCAACTCTTTAGGTATCTAGGGCCACACGCTGACTGAAAAAATAGACTGACAAAAGACAAATATATCATCTAGTACTAAATATCGATACTCTGTAGTTAAGTTTTTATTTCTCGAAGGTGAAACCACCAATGAAATCCGTTGAAGATTGGCGTAAAATACTATGTTATTAGTGCAATCGAATTCTAAGATCGAGCACCATGAGGGATTTGAATACGCCTAGAAGCGAAGCTCCTATGATCACTAACATCACAGGACAATGCGCGGTTGGCCTGTCGACTCAAAATGAGATTTGTCAAAATACGTGTGATAGAGTTAAAAAATTACAGGAAGTCAAAAGGTAAGAAACTTCCGTGAATACGGCAACCCGTTTTACCTGGCGTGACGCTCAACTTTCCAAATCGATTGTACATGCATCTTACTATTGCTACTGAAGGCCAACTTTCTAAGTGTTTTCACCGATGTTCGATATATTCGACCTATGTGTTCATTTTCGAAGCACAAAGATGTAATCTCTGACAACTGATATTTGGTATTGAAGGACCTTTCTGCTTTTAATATCAAAAATTCTCGGACGACACTTGATCATCTTACGAGTCGTTTTGCCTAGCCAATGGTTTGGCGTAAATATTCCGTAAATAAAAATGCCGTGTTACTACTCAATCTTTTAACCTGCTAAATATATAAGAACAATTCTGTGCAGATATCTGTAATTGCGTTTTGTTCTGTGCAGGGCGAGATATTGAGAAACTACGAGTGGTCGTGCTTTTTGTAATATCCACTCAGTTCACAGAGCGAAAGCTTCTAATTTTCAGCGAATCTATTAAATCTAAAATGCCTTTTAATAGTCATATGACTAGGATTATTTTCCGGCCCAAGTGACAAATTATTTGCCGGCTGTCTTCCTTCAGAGTACCTCTGATTAGTCCTCGTCGACCTCAGATGGCCGATTGGAATGGGGTGCATACTCCTGTTCCAAGATGCTATTCTTGAACTTCTGCGACTAGTTTTGAGCTGTCCTCTCAGGTATTGAGTCCGCAGCACGAGTATCCCGTATTGCTTCGACAGCTGTTTAACATCGGCAAAAAAAAGAATAGTGCCAAAAATGCATCTGGAACTACTGTTTTTTGAGGTTGAACTCGACATAAGATTGCGTACGCTGCATGATGACACTTTGAAATGGCAGACAAAAGTAAACAAATAAAGAGGAAACGCACAATTTTTGTTTTAAGCCAATAGCTCGCGGGCCACCGAAACATGAAAAACAAAAGAAAAAAGATCTTTAACCGTTCAAACCACAACAACATAATCCGATTTTCCGTTTGAGGTTTCGATGACGTCAGCTATGCCGCCGACGGTCTTTGATTAATACAGGCTATGGCCTCACATAATACCTAAAAATTCTGTACAGCTCCCAGACCAAACAAAATAACTTTCGTCCTAATTATAAAGATCAAAAAGTTACTGCCCTGATGAAAACAGATGTTCACTTTATTGCTTGCCGTCTAGAATATCGTCTGCTATCTTCGCAAATTCGACGAAAACAACACCTAAATCGTTATATAGTGGAGAGCACAGGATGCTATTCTGATATTAATTACCCAACTGGTTAATTTGTTTTCTGAAAGGTTTCGATTTGTATTATCGTAGTAATCAGGTGGATTTTTGTTAATTTAGCTGACTTGGTATTTGATCTGATTTTCAACAGTGGTACGCAATTGTAGTTCTTCGGGAGAGTTCGAATGTGCTAACGGACGTTGTATACCTCTTCGATGGAGGTGCGACGGCGAAGATGATTGCGGAGATGCTTCAGATGAGCTTTGTTCTTATACGGTCCCACCCTTCTATGGTGGGTCTTCGTCCGCTAGCGGCAGTAACGGTAAATGTGGTATATTTTTTTAATGTTGACTATATATAACACACTAAATAGGATGTGTAGGAAGGTTGAAACTATCGAATGGTAATTTATTTTGAAGGCTTTGAGGGAGGTAGATACGTTGAAAAAGTTGACTTCAGTTATTTACGTTTTAAATAGTTGTCGATATGTTTTTATGTCTATACTATAATTTGTATATAATTGTCGCAACAACAAAACAATCTGTGGGATAAGAAAGGTGCAGCGGTACAACATACAATGGAAAACGGAAGTTTTTCTGCTTAGGAAGTTGATTCCCGTCCTCCATTTTACTTCTCAATGACTTTTGCCTAAAAATCACTTATTCGATCGTAAAATATACGTGGTGATACGTTTTTTATATTACCCATTATCATGCACGAGCCTCAAAAACTGGTTCATAGGTAGAGTCTGAGTGGAACAACGCTGTTGCAGTTGACGCAGCGGTGGGAACCTGGTGATTCGGTTTGACGGATTGACTTATCTAAATAAAACAACATAATACAGATAACCGTTAGTGTGATATGCCTATTGCTCTACAATGATAGTTTAACAAAACCGATATTGGACTGCTTGGTAGAAGCTTTTCTATGTATGCCTATTATCATGTTATTGACGCCAGTAAAATTGATCTCAAAACTAGAAGGTACGCAGCCTCTATTCTATATCAATTGAGTATGCAAACAATGCATTATATAGAGGCATTAATACTACGTTGTGACGTTTAGATTCGCTTGGGCGTGTAAATATCGTCGGTCCTCTTTGTAAAAATTGTCAGCAGATACGGTTTTTAGTAATGTTCCTTCAAATGATTTTCATCGGTATGACTAAATAATCTACCTGAAAGGAAAGCTGTTCTATGTCAAGGCTGACTACAACGCCCGGAACTACAAGTACCATTGCCACACATTGCTTACGAAGCAAACCGTGTAAAATGTAGACTAATAAACAATTAAAAGAAATTTTGCTCCGTTTATTATCATGCACACGTTTGTTAATTAGTAGTTACACCAGCGTTTTTTGTTAGGATTCAAATACTCTAAACCTATAGATGTTATATTTGCTTAAACCAAAGTTCGAATTAGCGCAATTATAATACTGTTATGAATGATAACAAACGACGCTGAATCCCTTCTCATTACTGATCGATCGACATGGCTTGCCAGTGCGCACGCCAATTCCTTTAAATACACATTAAGCCTTCGTATGTGCCAATGGTACTTTTGGCTTCAGCCAACTGATGGTAGAAAAACGTTCCCTGCCATATGCATATTAGCTTGGCTTAACACACGCTATACCTATGTTCTGATAATTGTCCTAGCTAGAGGTATAGTAAACTAGAGGTCCTAAGACACGCCAGCTACTTGCACAAATAAATCAGTATAGCCAACACAGGACAGCTTTTGTTGTCTTAAGCACTAAAATACATTTTCTCAGATATGAGCAAAACCTGTACATACTAAATAGTTAAGGTTTGTCTTTACGTTCCGGAGACGTATATATACAATTGATTTGTATAGTAGCTACTTGTAGATCAGTGTATAGTCGAATACCCATATTACAATAAGATTAAACTTTGCTGCTGGCATTAGTACTGGCATGAAGTTATTGTTGGAAGTACAGAGATAGGGTGTAACGTACGTAGCCTCAACCAGAAAAAATACTAACGGCTAGGAATCGCGAAGCCTTCGGCAGTTACGTTCCTTTTAGAACATGAAGTTCTGTTTCAAGCTTTAGCGGTGACATAAACATTAAATGAAGTTCTGTTTTCTACTCCATAGGCAAGACTGTTGGTTCGTTGCCTGGATGCCGCGAGTTTCCGTGCAAGAGTGGCTCTTGTATAAAGTGTCCAGACTCGAAGGGGCTTCATGGGCCTTGTGGAGATGGCGCATGCAGAGGTATGTTTAAGGCCAGATATTATGGTGACGGCGCGTACCGATAAACTTAGTTCTATATAGTTTCGCTGCTATTGCTATAGAAAAATGAGGCGTCAGCCAAAAAAAAACACATTAGTGCGAAAAGGGGGCGAATGCTCGAAGTCAGTTAATTCGGAGGTGAAACAAATGGTCGGCTAAACTACAAAGCTCGGGCTCGTCGAGTCAGGTAGTCGAGCGTTCGACAGGAAGTGGAGGGAACTGCGTTCCCGAATGTACCATTCCTCGATTAGTCTAGGTTTGAGCGAACGTTGTAGAGAGCGTTCGTCTACCGCTGATCGCATAGGCGCCTGCTTGTTCTTGTATATAAACTTTTTTACTAAGCCCACACATTTATTTAGTCGAATTCGTCGTGAATAAGATGAAGAAGTGAAATGAATTGGTCGTGGATGTGCATGGCTTATCTATTATAGCGGTTCCCAAGGAACGCACCATCTCACACGGAATAATATTATACGAAGTCCGACGAGAAGGTGAGAACCTGTACAAATTATCCAGAAGGAACGAATTTATGGCAATGCGTCAAATCGGGAAGTTTTTTGACGCTGAAGATGTTAAAACACCGTGCCAGCGTGGTCACTTTGTAAACAACCTTATTTTAGCCTCGTCACTTTTCACGGCGCTCGAAAAGTTGTCTCGTAAGTACCGAATGCTCAGTATTCGTCAACAAGCCCCTGGTTCAGATCATAGGGAACACACATTTGTTGCGTATCGCGCAAGTTTAGGCTGAAGTCGTGACCGTGTGTGCCACTCCAGCAAGATAGGGAGACATGCAGGCCTTTTAGAAATTGTACAACGAGTACTGAAGCACTTTTATATCGGTCCCGGTGTATCTATTCAGGACACGAAGACAGTGACTCAGTGCGAAGGTTGCCAAAGTTTGAACCCTAGGAGAACAAAAGGACGCATTTTCACGCCCACTTGCCGTAAAGAAAACTTTTAACTGAGTGAACGAGCTGGTGCACGAAACGCACGCTGAGGTACGTATGTTGAAGCGTCAAGAAACGTCGTCTCAGCAACGTTCAATTCAAGCAGCATTGCAAAGGCATACAGCGTAAAGAATTCACTGTTTAAGTTGAAGTGGTAACGAAATAGGTTAAAATGTTCAATTCAGTCTAATGTCGCCGTAACAAAATACTGATCTCTATGCTAGGCAAAGGCGATCCTAAAAATGAGAGGTAAAACGTGAACGATACGTTGTGGTATTTACGTTGGAATATCGTACGAACAGATGCTCTCGTTATAGAAAAACTTCTTTTTGTTGCATCTGAGCAACTTTATAAGTTGCCATACTGAAAAGGTCATATACATGTTTCTTAAATCTTAACAGCTAAAAGTCTCATTTGCTACTCAGTGTTTGACCCAAAAGCATTTGTAAGCAAGCTAACAACAGTAAAGTCGGGACCATTAACTGGCTACTAAATTAGATATAATTTATATGGTTGGATGGATGTGATAATAATATTGAAATTTAATCGATCACAACAAATTCAAGATAGTTTTTTCAATGTTGACCCTTACGAAAATGACTGTAATCCGCTCGCGGTACTGGGGGCGGTTGTAAAGTTAACACTATTTAAAGCGTTTGATAGAAGTTTACATTTACTCTAATTAAGACACGGACAGAAGAGGCACGATATTTGCTAGGACAAATCGGCTCAACCTACCCTTCACCTACGTACGACATGTTACTACTACACGCGTGCTCATGTATAACATCATATAGCTTAAGATTGGCTTGATGCACCGCAGAGATTCTGTGCATCAGTATTTAACCAAGTTATACGTAGACTATATATGAGTAAACCAGCAGGGAATTTAAGAATACTATTTGACAATGAATAACGAGTAGTATTACGCTGCCATCTGCCATTGTATGTCGTTCTTGCATACAGATTTATTACTATATACGTTTCAATTGTAGATCTGTTTTTGCTTCCTTCCCCGGGTTTATATACGATCACCTATTTCCTTCAGTTATATATTTCGACCGTCACCGATTGTATCGCGTCAATTAATCTAAATGTTCCATTAAAGGCTCATCTAATTATTACGTGACACCGTATTATCACGGCGTCATCATGGTCTGTCTAAGAATCAATCTGCCATGAAGCTTAAATGATTTACCTGTTATTGGCCTTCTAGTGACCAAGGGCTAAACAAGTTCTTCGAGGCGACAAATTTATTTGTGTATTTATTGACTATTGATATGTCAATAGCAGTCGAAAATGGTGAGAACAGCTGGTGTTCGTTTCCGAACACCGTTTCGCTTCTTTTCCTGTGTCGCTGTGATAGAAAAATAGAAAGCCGATAGGCAGCTTTGTGGCTGCACAAAACTTCACAATTTTAATATATTTGACATTTGTATTTCGGCTTTCATCTGCGACGCTGTTTAGTAGGCTGTAAGCCATTGCGTTTCTTAAGCAGAACATGCGCGCCGATTATACGCTTAATACACACACACACACATATATATATATATATATATATATATATGCAATGGTTTTCATCATTTAGGCCACCTAAGAGTTTTTATAGCTATAACAGTAATTTTTCAGTGCATTTCTGGATTTTCGGGGCTCAGTGAGAAGTTGTTATTATATACATATATATACATATATGTGGGCCAGGTTAGAGGATTTTATAGAAGGATTGACAATATGAAAATGGGGACTGGCAGCCTGGACGAAAATATAGCTAACGAGAGAATCACCTACTTATCTAGCCTGACTGTAAGTATCCATCGATATCTCTACTTCATCCGGTGTTTCCCTCTGACTGCTGCTACTCCTTTCCCCCCTTTCTCCTGCCTACCGTAATACCCGCCTCGAGCAGAGTCAGCCGTAGATGCGTGTCATTTGCTACTTTGGTCGCATAGTCGCAAAAGGATGTGGCAGCTCTGTCATAGCTAAGTCCCCGTTGGCGGTGGTATGTAGGCAGTGAATTGCCGCAGGGAGCGTGGCTCTCCTCACGAAAGTTCTTCATTGCTCTAATATTTTTTTCTACTCATATCTCCTGTCAGGCACGTCTAGCCTTCATGCTACCGGTGCGGTGTTTGCTGCGTAGACTACGGGTCGTTCAGTCAGCTTTACTGTCTAAAAGATGACTTTGATACTGGAGCTTTCTTATACGGTTGCCAATCCGGATAGTGGATCGACGAATGATATTTGAACTAGATTTTGAAGTTTACTTTGTTCGTCTCGCTCGATCGCAATCACGTAAACATCGATTTGTTTTTTGCTGTTCTTCGATCGGTCGATATTTTTGGCCTAAATATTCGTTGGCCCGGTCGATTAATCTACTTGTTTTTTTTCTGAGAGGCGTGTCTAGGCCTCGCATAGTGTGAACAAAAATACAATTGCCTTCTCTCGGGGAGTATGTGTAATTCGTATAAGCAGACAGCGAGTCAGTCTGCATGGTAAGCAGCAGATGATTTACTTGATGCTCAGAGCTAGTGACTCTTACACGTTGCCACGATAAAATATTAATCACCATCTTTTAGAAATTTGCCTGAAACTGATTTAAAGAGCCTTCAACCCCCTCTCGTTAAAGAAAACAATTATGCTCGCCGTTTTCGAAAACGGACTAGGTGTACATCCACCTAGTCCGTCTTCGCTCTAAATTGCCGCATGGAAAAAAAAATGATAATTTCGAGAGTTGTTCATTTTATAATAATATGGACACACAGCTATATATGGTTATATTTTGAATAGATATTTAGGTTACTAAATGCATTTAAATAAAAACTGAAACATCGTTTTGTTTTGTTATATAATCTGATTTAGTTATATACATATACGCACCTCTGAGCATAGGTACTGTGTGGATACCTTTTACTTTACTGTCGTTGACGTGAATACACGCCTTCTAAGAATACTGGAACACTATCGAACCGCCATAGAGACTTTGTCATACTCACTTAAAGGGCTTGGATTTAGCTCTGCATCCGCTCCAGCTAATTTTTAGACAGTTTCTGAAAAATCTTCAAGTGCCACGTCACGCTGGTCACGAAAACTGTCACGAAGCATCACTCGAACAGCCATCGGCAAAAATATTGATGATCAGCGACTGACACATAATATCCGGTCTGCTTACAGACTAGAACGAAATATCCACCTGCAATGACGATAGACATAGTTCGAATGGGCGAAGTTCATCATTATGCTTCACTGCTTCGACGCGGTGTATTTCGCCTTCAGGTCAGCGTTGCAACAAGTTACCCACTCGAAGCCTCTCAAGATACCTTTCCTCTTTAGCGTCGATGATTAAGTGGTAAAATGCTAGGCGACCGTATTGTAAAAATTCGGGTGAATGGTAAATACTGTGATAGCACCACAGCCACCTCACCTCCGACTGTCACCAAGACACAATCTTGGGACCTCTCATATATATTTAGTATAGAAATAGAATACATATTACCACACCTGTATTTGTAGAAATTTAACAGACATGGTTCTCCGCGCAACACGCTGTTTCAACTGGATCTTACAATCATCTCTTCCAAATGACCCGACTCCGTGTGTAGAGTTATTTAAAATATACGTAAAGTCGCTTATAGCGTACGCAGTGTCTGTCCGGCATCCAAGTCTGAAATAAAAATTATGAACGGTTTGACAAAGTCAAAAACGCGCTATTACCAAATGCCAATTATGAGAAAAGGGCTAAGCATCACGCCGATTTTCGTTAAATGTAAAGCTATTAGTAAAGACGCATCGAAGCGCACTAGCAGGCGTTTTCTGTCCCTATGAAACATGTTTGACCCAATCAAGAGAACCTTGCAACTATATGAATATTTGTCGCCAAAGAGCAACCTTTTTCATGACGAATTTTCCGTGTACTTCCATCGAAATAATATGCCAAAAGAGAGTTACTGTTCCACGCATATTTCAGCCATTGCTGAAATGTGTCATTATTATAATAAGATATTCTTACACTTCTATTATAAATACGCTTATATTATATCA